GGGGAGGGGGGGGAGGGGCAGAGAACCTCTGGACAGAGTCTCTAATTTGGCTCCCCACACTTTCTAGCTCATCCTCCAGCCTTCTCTTGCTCATAGTTTTCCTGACTATACCATCCCTTAAATGAACATGAAATGATGCATAAACCTTGGTATTGCTATAGTTTTCATACACTATCAAGGATGTTACCAGACACTGGGGATCATTTCTGTTTAATTTCTTCAGGATTTAATAACCTAAAATAGAAACATGCTGAGACATCACTCACCACTAACAGAAAAGTTGTGTCAACTTTGGCTACTCTCTCCATACCAACTCCCACCACCATCATTACCCCAAAGCAAAACTATCCAGTGAATGTTATTACAGCAGTAGGAATGAGTAGGTACAGTCAGGGCCTTTCTGAACAGTGGGTGCTGCTCCCTTCATGACAGTGAGCCTGGTCACTTCTCTTTCTATAGAACATGCCCCGCCGGAGGGTCAGCGTTGCCGTGGTTCCCAAGTTTAATGCCCTGAACCTGTCCAGTCAGCCTCCAAGCTCATCACCCATCCCCTCCTTACCTGCCCTGGTGAGTATGAACATGTTTGCCTGCTGACCCTATTTGACCTCTCCCTCAGACTCACTACTATGTGGGTGACCTATGTGTGGGCAAAGTCAATAAGGTGAGTTCATTCCCAGCACAGATTCTGGGCTATGGGCTTAAAAAGCCCAATATAGATGAGGCTCCATGTCTTCCACTGCCCTGAGAAGAAGATAGTAAGTGGTATCCTTTTTCATGCTTAAACTACACCATCCAAGGTGGGTACGATTTTGTCTCACTCTGCAATGGGCTTCAACACCTGAGCTGCATTGTATAGTGGTAGAGCTGAGCTTTGAACCATAGGCTCTGATTCTAGAGCATGTATTCTTTAAAAGAACAACAATTCATTTTATTTTAAATTTTTTATACTTTCAGTCACTTTCAAACACATTCAAATTTTACAAAGTTGCAATTTTGGCATATAAAAAATTGGGGGTAGGAACAAAATTTCTTATAGAACTGGCTAAAGAATGTCACAGTGTTTTAGAGTTTGGACTTCAAAGTAACACCAGATGTGAGTTCCAACTATGATTTCCCCTTTTTAGCTTGTGACATTAGGCAAGTTATTTCATCTCTCTTTGCCTCACTTTTTCCTAAGCTTGAATTCTTAAACCCAATGTTATTCTGTCTTGATTCTTTGCAATATTGTTTATAACAATGAAAAGATGGAGACTACTCAAATGTCCATTAATAAGAGATTGGTTAAATAAATTATGACATCCCTACAAGGGGTTTCTATATGCAGTTGCTAAAAATGATGATTAGAATATAAATACAGAGTGGGGTAAAAGTAGGTTTACAGAGTTTAGTGTTATATTATTGTTTATTAATTATTGTATTATTTTCCATATGAACAACTATAAACCTACTTTTCCCTCACCCTGTATTTATTGACATGAAAAATTTTTCAAATTAGTAAAAAGGAGTTAAATACAATATATACAAAAACAGTATATACAGTATAATTCTGTTTTGTAGTTTTTAAAAGTGGTTTTCTAGGTGTAGAAAGAAAATTCTGGAAGCATGTATGTAAAACTACTAAGAATGGTTATCTATATGCAAGGATAAAACCACAGGTGATTTTTAACTTCTTTTTTTTCATGTTTTTTTTTTATTTCAAGAAAAATGATTTTAAATATAATAATGTTACATGAAATAAACAATAATATCTCAAGAAAAATGATTTTAAATATAATGTTACATGCAATAAACACCAATTAATCAAGAAAAATGATCTTACATATAATATTACATGCAATGAACATTAATATTTCAAAAATGAAAGGATTTTAAGTATAATAATATTACTAAAACGTACTAACATAGTATGATATCATAACAGTTGTAGGAAATATTAAAAATCTTCAAATAACAGGATTACTTCTATTATATTCTAGTATATTTTTCCCCCCGGCTCTATTTTGGTTCATCAGTTTATGTTGTTCATTATATTCCACAAATGAGTGAGATCATAGGATATTTATCTTTCTCCGACTGGATTATTTCTCTTAGCATGATGCTTTTTTTAAATCTTTAATTTCTTTATTGGTTAAGGTATTACAAATGTATCCTCATCTCCCCATTAACCCCCAACTTCCCCCCACACACACACTCATGCTCTCATCCCCCTGTTGTCCGTGTCCATTGGTTTGGCTTATATGCACGCTTACAAGTCCTTTAGTTGATCTCTTCCCCTTACCCCCACCCTCCCCTACTTTCCCTCTGGGGATTGATAGTCTGATTGCTGTTTCTCTGTCTTTGGATCTGTCCCTGTTCATCAGTCTATGTTGTTCTCTATATTCCACAAATGAGTGAGATCATGTGGTATTTATCTTTCTCTGACTGGCTTATTTCACTTAGCATAATGCTCTCCAGTTCCATCCATGCTGTTGCAAATGGCAAGAGTTCCTTCTTTTTTAC